TTTTTTTTTTTTTTTTTTTTATCATAAAACAATTCATTTCACCTGCAACATTACTAGTTTTCACAAGTGCCTCCCACACTGGGTGGCGGCCTCCAAGCTGGGTTTGGAGATAAAGTAACAGATGAGACATAGGCCTCATCTTCACAGGAGGAGCACAGACTTGTCTGGGGCATGGGGGGGTCCTTAAGGTCACAAAAGATGGGGAAGCTGCTTCGATCTGCAGGAAAGGAGATGGATCAGGAGTCTTCAAAGAAGAAATGATGCCGAGCAGGGACTCCGGAGTGAACAGTGTGAGCCTGCTGCATGGCAAGGGCTGGAACGTTTGTGGCTGGGGCACAACACTTGAGATACCTGGGTACCAACAGCTCCACGGGGACTGCATGGTCCCAGGGAGGACATGGCAGGAGGTAGGAAATGCTCTTGTTCTCTACAGCACCTCTTCCAAATCCTCACCCCTCTCTAAGCGAATGCCCCCAGGCTGCCAGGCGCTCTGGGCCGTGCCACTGAAGGCTTACCAGGCTCGCTGTCGATCTGGGTCAGCACATCCTCGATGGAGTCCCCGTCATTCCTCAGGCTCTCAGGGTCTGGTGGGGTGTAGCCATGACAGCGGCACCAGTGAGCAATGTGCTTGGTTTTGAGGGGAGTCAGGTGGTGAAATCTCGGATTCTTCTCCAGGATTTCTTGTAAGACTTTTCGCATTGTCATTGCTCTTTGCCACTTAAAAAAAATTTTTTTTGGAACCATAATCAAATCCTTCCACTTAACACAACTACGTTATCATGCAATCACAAATCACCATCCTAACTTAACCTGTTAGGTTTTTTTTTTTTTTTTTAGGAAAAAACACCTGATTGTGTTACTCCCCACTTAAAAAAAGGAGAACTTCTACCGGCTCCCTAATGCTTATAACTAAAACAGCAACTCCTAGGTTTGGCCCTTAAAGATTTTCACCTGGTCTCAACCTAGGACCTCCCACTTCCCCTCCTACCCCAACTTTCCCTAAACCGACCACAGCACCTTCCCACTGTAAGGACTCAATACGCAAGTTCATTTAAAATTCTGAAACTCAGAAAAAAAGTTAGAAACTGTGAGGGATGTTTCTACCAGTGAAGGAAAAGAAGGCAGGCCTGAAAGCTGGCTGGATATAGGTCTTTGAAAAATGAGACTTTTTTAACTGAAGAAAATCTTCTACCATCAAATATTTCAACAAAATATGCTGCAATCTGTATCCCCGTTCCCTAAGAAAAGGTTTCTGCAGGCAGCCAGAATAAACAGGCAGACGTGGGTTACCTCAGCGGCTCTCCTTTTTCCAATGTTCCAGCCATAGTACTGCTCCACAGACTTTGCAGAAAAGCAGCTGGCATCTTCACCTAGAATGCACATACCCAGCAAATCCTGAATAAAGCTCTTACGATTCCAATCACATATCATTTGCTGGAGGCAAGCCAGTCACTTCTTCAGACCTCTTTATTGCATGTATATTCCTTACTGGGCAAGATGCAGCCTAACACAGGAGGGCGTCTCCTCAGAAGAGAAGGCGTCCTGTCGTGTGTACTCAAAGCAACACACCTTCTTGGGAACTTGGCTTCTTTGGTGGAGAAGGTAATCACTGCCACAGGCTATTAAAGTCTGTGGGACTGGCGCTCCACTAGGAGCCCTGGACCTGCCATTAACTCACAAGGTGGCAATGGTAGATGGTGTCTCACTTTGTTGCCCACAAATCTCAGCTCACTGCAACCTCTGCCTCCCGGTTTCAAGCGATTCTCATGCCTCAGCCTCCCGAGTAGCTGGGACTACAGGCATGCACCACCATGCCTGGCTAATTTTTGTATTTTTAGTAGAGATGGGGTTTCACCATGTTGACCAGGCAGGTCTCAAAGTCCTGACCTCAGGTGATCTGCCCACCTCAACCTCCCAAAGTGCTGGGATTACAGGCGTGAGCCACTGCAACCAGCTTGGTTTTCTTATCTATAAATTGAGAAAGCTGGGAAGATAGTATCTGAACTACCTTCCGGCTCTTGTATTCTGTATTTTTAAGGAGAGAGAAAACTGTGTGTGTGTGTGTGTGTGTGTGTATGTGTATGTATGTGTGTGTGTATATATATGTGTGTATATATACATATATATATGTGTGTGTATATATGTGTATATATACACGTATATATATACACATATACACACACACACACACACAAACACGTATATATGAGAGAGATTTTTTTGTTTGAATTTCTTCTGTCAGGCTGGGAAACTGTCATCAAAAGTTTATTCTGAGATACATCAAAATGATCCCCCAAACTTTACCTTAGAAAGAGAGACTACTGCTTTGCTATTACAGTTGGAAAAAATAAGTAGGTGGTCTGTACCTGGCGTACGTGTTCCGAGCCCTACAAATCTGAGTGGCGTGGAGGCTGCCCCTGGCTTCCCTCTGAGTGTGCATAGTGGTCTTGCCCATGAGCATGCTCCTGTGTCCGCAGGCTGCTGGCCCCTCAGCAAGGGCTATTGATTCTATCAAAACAACTGGGGCTAAGCAGCAATTTACTCAATCTAGGTAACGATGGGAGTGACACAGCACACCACTTTGGGAGGTCTTAAAAACTGTGCATTTCTCCAGTGTGCAATACTGGGTTTCAGAGGAAAGATGAATGGTCTTAGAGTCAAACAGAACCAGGTTTGTATCCTGTTTCACCACCCATGGCTCTGTAATCTCAAGCAAGTTATTCAACCCTGTTTATCCTCAGTTTCCTCATCTGTAAATGGAGATGACACCAGCTACCACACAGGAGGCTGGGATTATATGAGACAGTGAACGTACCCAGCCTGCACAGGACCTGGTACACTGCAGGCAAACACTAAATGCTTTCCTCACTCATAAACGCCAAATGCTAATACAGAGTTTTAACTGCATACAAAACAATTTATGATTTACATATGAAAAATGTAAAACATTCCTTCTAAAGAACACCACAGTAAAAAGAATAAAAAACTAACTGCATATGAATTCTAAAACCCTTGCAAATGAGCTGTATCTCTAGCTGAAACCTTATAAGGTAACTGCCATTATCAATATTAATTTACAAACCCAAGTGATTTCAGTTGACTCAATACCTTAAATTCACGGCTTTAAAAAATGCACCCCTATATTCAGTGTAATTGTCTTACTTTTTGCAGTGATTAACGGAATCTTCTTTACTACTGCTGTTAAGAGTTGCTGGATAGTCTCTAAATGGTCTATCCTGAGAGGGATTAAAAAAAAAAAAAGGCAATAAATTAAATACATGTAGCAGTTTCTATAGTCATATATATGCCATATACTTAATGGATATATTCCATTCTGAGGGAATTATAATGTAAAAACATCATATTAACATGTCTTTCCTTCCATAGATTACCTTCTTTGTAAAGGAAAGGTGTTCTACGCTTAAAAAGAAAATGTCAAGACTAAATAAGATCCTAGAAATGGAAGATTATGCGCATATTACAGACAGTTAATCTACACCTTAAAATTAAATAGCAATATAATCTTTTTGCAATGTGACTGCTACTAGGGGAGAAAAATTCTGTATGCCCATCTTAGGGTTATTACAGTTCACGCCTCCATCTACCATATTAAAGGGCTAAGTTTCTATTGTCCCCAGCAGTTTGAGATACTTAAAAGTAGCTGGTCAGAAGTGGCTTCCTGATTTAGAAATTACGAAACCTCAGAAAGCATTTTAGAAGAAGCAAAGAGTGTGTATAGCCCATGAAGAGGCAGCTAAGATTAGGCAGGCGTGTGGACACCCAGTCACAAAGCACGTATACACCTGAGTGATGGCAACAGGAGAAATTTTGTGCCCAGGGGCTCAGCAGAGAAAGCCCACGTTGGCAACCTCAACTGAAGGGAGGTCTAATCCCATGTGAGGCTTCTAAGGCTACAAATCAAGTGCCACCTCCAGTCACATCACTGTATAAAATGATGACCCTCAGCTGTGCATCACTTGTCCACTACACAGGCACAGACAGTTCCTCCCATCAAGGGCTTAGAGCTACACACACAACTCTGCACATACTCAGCTGTCACAGGTGTGACAAACACCCAAAGCGGAATTCCTTTAGGAAAGACTGGAAGAATTACTTAATGACATAGTTTCCCAGCTCAGAACTTTCTTCTGTTTTCACTGCTGTCTGACCCTCCTGAGAGAGGCAGCTCGGCCCAGGTGTTTCTGGTTCAGTCTTCACTACAAGGCAAGAGCAACAAAGAGGCAGCTGTTAGGGGTTAGCAGTGGAAGGACATGTGCAGGCACAAACAAAGCTCCTGCAGTGAAGCTCAGCAAGGAAACTGCCACTCCAGCTGTTGTGGGGACACAGCCAGGGGACTGAGATGGCTCCTATCATCCCAGGGTCATCAGACAAGGGAAGAACTGTTAGCCTGGGTCTCAGGGGGGACAACTCCAGCCTCATGACAGGGCGGGGGCAATAAAATGGCTCCTCAGATATTTCTTAAAGGGCCACCCATACTGCTGTGTAAGATCCCTCACCCCCTCCCCACACATGTGATTTAACAATGCTACATTGAAGTACAATGCTGGTTTGTTCTAAGTTCTAATATTGTGACCTTTCCAATACCATCTCTCCAGCTAGTTTATCAACTTTCAGCATTATCTTAGCGTTCTGAGACACAAGGCAGAAAGCAAAAATCAGATTGCCTGTGCTTGGACACTGATGTTATCAATGTCAGCGTGTTGCTCTAATCCACCGTGCTATCCTGATCTACTCTTGTGGGCAGAAATGTCTCCCACTGCCAGCTCGCCAAAGTCTGGCCCCTACCTAAACCTCCTTTACCACAACTATACTCCCCAAATGAGTCCCTCTAACTTGCCACTTCTCCAAAGGGGAAGCTGAGTCTTTGTCTCTCCTGTGCCCTTAATCTGGCATACCCCTTGACTCCCCACAGCTAAAAAACCTCTACTCTTTTAAAGTCCAGGTTATAATCCATGGTCAATACAAAGTCTTGCCCTTCTCCACACCCCCTGCCAACCCTGATCAGACATCCCAAACTGCAATATTTCAGCAATCATTTCCCTGGCCACATGTCTTGTGTTTATCAATGATTGCTTGCTGTCTACAGCAATTCTTTTCAACCTTATTATAAATTTATTAAAGGGTAGAAATGATCCTTTATACATCTCTGTATTTAGGACACATTTGCCAAGTAGTTGATTTGCAAATGCTGAAAATTCAAAAGATTCAGATTATGGTAATGTCCTGCATAAAACTTCTGGACATCAGAAGAGAACGTGAACGACAACAAAAAAGATAAACAACAAAACTTCTGGACAAGAACTCTGTGAGATCCTATGTACCTTTTGCAACAGCTGCTGGAGCAGAGCTGGGGACAACTGGAGTTGGGGCAGCTACAGGCAGAATGGCAGGTGGCTTGCTGGTAGAAAATGACTGAACCACTAAAGGGAGAAAAGGAGGGAGGGATATAACAAATACAGAGATTATTTTTAATGAAGGTGATCTAACTCCCAGGTGATAACCCCACATGAGACCAACAGCACACAGACAACTTGAGGACAACAGGAATTGCAAAGTCCCTTTTTACTAGTGGGTGATTATTAGGTATGAGGGTAACTGAGGTATATCTTCAACTGTAGAAACAGGAGCCTGTCACTAAACTAAGAAAGTAACAAGCCAGGCCAGGCACGGTGGCTCACGCCTGTAATCCCAGTACTTTGGGGGGCCAAGGCAGGTGGATCTTCTGAGGTCAGGAGTTCAAGACCAGACCGGGCAACATGGTGAAACCCCATCTTTACTAAAAAATACAAAAATTAGCCAGCTACTCAGGAGACTGAGGCATGAGAACTGCTTGAACCCAGGAGGCGGAGGTTGCAGTGAGCCGAGATCTTGCCACTGCACTCCACCCTTGGCGACAGAGCAAAACTCTGTTTCAAAAAAAAAAGGAAAGGAAAACAACAATCCAATTAATGTAAATTCTTATAAACACTTAAAATATTCCCCCTTCAACTCAACTTTAGATAAGGGCAGCTATTTAGAAGCCAACGAACATTTGGGTTTTGAGTCCCGGCGTTGGAGGCGTAGCATTCAAGGTGCAGGGAGTACCGTGATAGCTGAAGGGTGGCTGTACATCGGCAGAGCAGTCACCACCTGGTAAATGCTGAGATACGTGGAAGCGGCCACAGCACAGAGGCCCGTGGGCAAGGCACTCACCTTTATTCACAGGCATCAGGATCGTCTGCACCCCTCCAGACGTGTTTACGCTGAGTGGTTTGAGCTGGCTGGGAATCGTCAGGACTGCCTGCTGGGGACTGGCTTGGCTGGAGTGAATCTTTAACAGTCCTAGAACAAATTGGAAGACAAGGCCACGTTGAAGGTCAGGTGCTTCGGGAAAGTCCCTTATCCTCTGTGCCACCCATATTTTGTCATGGAGGAAGTTACCTTCCAGTAAACAAAAGAGCAAGAAGCAGGAGGCAACGGATGCTGTGGATTTCACAATAAAACATCGGCATGACAATAATTGTTTATTTATTTACTTTTTGAGATGGAGTCTCGCTGTGTCGCCCAGGCTGACACGATCTTGGCTTACTGCAACCTCTGCCTCCCAGGTTCAAGCGATTTTCCTGCCTTGGCCTCCCAAAGTGCTAGGATTACAGACATGAGCCACCGTGCCCAGCCCCTATTTATTTTTATTTTTAGAGACAGGCTGTCGCCCAGGTTGAAAAGTGCAATAGTACGATCATAGCTCATTGTAACCTTGAACTCCTGGGCTCAAGCGATCCTCCTGTCTCAGCTTCCAGAGTAGCTGGGACTACAGGCATGCCATGACACACAGCTACTTTTTAATTTGTTTCTGTAGAGATGGGGTCTTGCTTTGTTGCCCAGGCTGGTCTTGAAACTCCTGGCCTCGGGCGATTCTCCCACCACGGCTTCCCAAAGCACTGGGATTTTTTTTTTTTTTTTTTGAGTCGGATCTCGCTCTGTCGCCCAGGCTGGAGTGCAACGGTGCCATCTTGGCTCACTGCAACCTCCATCTCCAAGGTTCAAGCAATTCTCCTGCCTAGGCCTCCTGAGTAGCTGGGATTACAGGCATGTGCCACTACGCCCAGCTAATTTTTGTATTTTTAGTAGAGATGGGGTTTCACCATGTTGGTCAGGCTGGTCTCGAACTCCTACCCTCAAGTGATCCACTCACCTCAGCCTCTCAGCTGGGATTACAGGCATGAGCCACCGCGCCTGGCCAGCAATGGGATTATAGATGTGAACCACTGTGCCTGGCCATAATGATTGAAAGTATCCTTGTACCACAACCATGAAGTAACATATTTTTGCTAGTAAAAAGGATAAAAAGTCACCCAAAATCCTACCGCAGAGATAATCAATACTAATGTTTTCAGATATTACTCTTCCATGTTTGTTTTCTATGACAATTTGTTTTGCACATAGCTCTGATGTGTACAAAATTTTGGATTTTGTACACAGTTCTAGATATAAAATTCTGTGTTTTGATGTCAAACATTGTCATTATCCTACTTAAAAACCTATGCTGGCTCCTGACTGCCTAAAACATATTTCCAAAATTAGCTTCAAGCATTCAAGGTCCATTTTAATCTGGTCCCAATGTATGCGCATCTCCTTCCCACTGTCCCTACGTATCTAGTATGTCCATCTGTCTACACACCACACCTCATCATTTCCTAGCTCTGTGCAGCCCTTGTTTTTCAAACATCAGATGTTCTCTATGGTTTTAGAAAGGATCACTTTCTCTCATTTTATTTTAAAGGTGATTTCCATATTCCCATTTCCATGTAAAACTGTTCTAGGCATTCAGAGGGCCACTTAAAAAATCACAAAGGGCCTTTACTGTGAAGGAGTATACAAGGCACAAACAATACAAACACGTTTTAAGAAATACTTAAAAGCAGTGGTCAGGCATGGTGGCTCACGCCTGTAATCCCAGCACCTTGGGAGGGCGAGGCAGCTGGACCACCTGAGGTCAGGAGTTCGAGACCAGCCTGGCCAACATGGTGAAACCCTGTCTCTACCAAAAATACAAAAAAAATAGCCGGGCATGATGGCAGGCGCCTGTAAAACAAGCTACTTGGGAGGCTGAAGCAGGAAAACCACTTGAACTCGGGAGACGGAGGTTTCAGTAAGCCGAGATCACGCCACTGCACTCCAGCCTGGGCAATAAGAGCAGAAACGCCGTCGCGGGAAAAAAAAAAAAACAACCCAGCATCAGGAGCTAAAGATACTTTAAGGCACCGGAAAGCAGCTGGTCTGAGCTAAGGAAAGGAATAATCTTAAATACTTTCTAGAACAAGGCCTTAAATAAACAAAATCTTTCTTTGGAATAGAAGAGTGTTAAATCAGTCAGGTAGTAATACTTCCTGAGACACGATGTTGAGGAGTTTAACAACGATCTGAAGTTTCCGTATTTTTATGCATGCTGACCAGCTGACAAGTTAAAAAGTACTAAAAGGCTTATATAAACATAGCCAACCCTCATTCCACCTCCCTATTTTCATCTAGTTCCCTGCTGGTATCTACTTTAATCCTTTTTGGTTCTTTTTATTAATATTTATCTCAGTATATGTAAAAGAATGTGTAGGGCCAGGTGCAGCGGCTTACACCTGTAACCCCAGCACTTTGGGAGGCCAAGAAGGGAGGACTGGTTGAGGCCAGGAGTTTGAGACCAGCCTAGGCAACAAAGCAAGACCCCGTCTCTAAAAAAAAACAAACAAAATTAGTCCCGTGTAGTGGCATGCCCCTGTAATGCCAGCCACTTGGGAGGCTGAGGTGGGAGGACAGCCTGAACCCAGGAGTTCAGAGGCTACAATGAGCTATGATCACGCCCCTGCACTCCAGCCTGGATAACAGAGCAAGACCCTGCTCTAACAATAAAACAAAAGTAATTTTAAAAGGAATGTATTCATTATAGGCCTTGATTCATCAATTTTTAATTTTACCTACTGATTTACTATTAGGGTAGTTGGTTTTGTTTTTTTTGTTTTGCTTTGTTTTGTTTTTTTGTTGAGACACTGTCTTGCTGTCACCCAGGCTGGAGTGCAGTGATGCGAGTGATCATGGCTCACTGCAACCTCGACCTCCCAGGGTCAAGTGATCCTCCCACCTCAGCCTCCCGAGTAGCTGGGACTACCGGCACAACTACCACACCCAGCTAATTTTTTTTTTTAAGAGATGGGGTCTTACAGCATTGCCCAGGCTTGTCTCAAACTCCCAGCCTCAAGCGATCCGCTTGCCTTGGCCTCCCAAACTGCTGAGATTACAGTTGTAAGCCACAGCACCTGGCCCCTAGATGGGGTCTTCAGTGGCTTCCCCCAGAGTCAAAGTCAAATCTAGCCCCTAGATGGGGCCCAGAAAAGGTATAAAAAGTTCCCCCTTTAAGGCACTTATATACCCTTTCTTCCCTATACAGATATTCTCTTACAATGGTTGATTGGAGTTTTTTACTTTGGCATGGTATGAAAGTCACAGGCACTCAGCAGAAACTGTACCTCTCTTGTGATGCTGGGCAGTGGCAGTGAGCCACAGTCCCCGGCCAGTCATGCATTTTTTTCCATTTAGAATATTTTCACCTTACGGCCAGGTGTGGTGGCTCACGCCTGTAATCCCAGCACTTTCGGAGGCCAAGGTAGGCAGATCATGAGGTCAGGAGATGAAGACCATCCTGGCTAACACTGGAACCCTGTCTCTACTACAACTACAAAAAATTAGCTGGGCATGGTGGCAGGTGCCTGTAGTCCCAGCTACTTGGGAGGCTGAGGCAGGAGAATGGTGTGAACCCGGGAGGCAGAGCTTGCAGTAAGCCAAGATCGCACCACTGCACTCCAGCCTGGGTGACAGAGCGCGACTCCGTCTCAAAAAAAAAAAAAAATATTTTCACCTTACAACAGCTGACTGGGACTAACCCCATCCCATATTTCAGGAATGTCTTTGGAGAGGGTACACAGGAAATACATTTCAAACTTTGCCTGTCAGAAATAGTTTTACTCTCACTCTGTAATGATCTCCTTAACTAGAGAATTCTAGACTAAAAGTAATGTTCTTGCATTTTGAAAAGCAGTAGTATGCTAGCTTCTAGCACTGCCACTGAGAAGCTCAATGATAATGTAATTTCTGAAATTTTCAATTTCTTTACCCTGTGCCTTTTGAAACTGGCAGTTCATGCCCTTCACTTCTGGGAAAGATCCTTGTCTGGCCAGAGCTCCCTAATACATCACTAAATTTTCTTTCTTAGTATCTACTTCCTGGTCCATTCCCTGCTTCCACCTCGTGCCCCAGAGCTTACTGTCAATACTACACCAATGATCCTGTTAAAAGGTAAGGCAGATCATACTCCACCTTAGCTTAAAACCCTTCAGTGGCTTCCCCCAGAGTCAAAGTTCCAACACCCCACACAGGCCCTGTGTGCTCTGATGGAATCTTCTCATGCTCTCTCCCTTGCTCATGCAGCTTCTGTCCCAACGAGACCTTGTTTAACGCAGTTTATGATGCACACAAAAAACTTAATTGAAAAACTGCTAGTTATAAGTAGGAAACAGTTTGATCCTTTTATGAAAATGTGGGCTGGGTGCAGTGGCTCACGCCTGTAATCCTAGCACTTTGGGAGGCCGAGGCGGGTGGATCACCTGAGGTCGGGAGTTCGAGACCAGCCTGATCAACATGGTGAAACCCCATCTCTACTAAAAATACAAAAATCAGTGGGATGTGGTGGCACATGCCTGTAATCCCAGCTACTCAAGAGGCTGACACAGGAGAATCGCTGGAACTCAGAAGGCAGAGGTTGCAGTGAGCCAAGATTGTTCCACTGCATTCCAGCCTGGGCGACGAGAACAAAATTCCGTCTCAAAAAAAGAAAGAAAGAAAATGTGATACGGGAAGTTCCAGCAGCAGCAGCATCTTAGGAAACTAGAATTTACAGCAGGGAGACTTCATCTACTACATGCCAAAAACATGATCAGAAAAGAGACAAGGGAAGGGCATTCATTATTATAATAATTCCTTTTATTTCTACAATTTCTACTCCAGTGTCCAACACAGGGCCTCAAATAAAACATTCAGTTAGTAGAGAACAAGCACTCCCTATACTAGAAGTTGGTCAATTTTAACAGGGAGGTAGAAATCAAGAGAAAAATATAATCAGCCTTAATTTTTTGTTCTCTATCCAAAAAACAAGACACGAGGGGCTTGGTGTGGAGCCACATATGAATGAAGTAATAATAGTAATAACAACATCCACAGCCTCTAATCCAAAGGCAGTAAGGGGTGTGTCTGCACGCGTGTGTGCATGCATGCGTGTGTGTGTATCTCGGTGATATTCAGTTTTTCCGGTAGACCAGTGCCAGCCGTATGCTGGCTGGTATCAATCTGCAACAAGATAATAGAGTAGAAACTTTAACAGTTTGATAGTGCTGCGACATTTTAATTATATTTTACAGAAGTATCTATCTGTACCAGATCGTAGAAAAACAAAACCAAAACTGATCATTCAAGTTTGAGAAGCAAAGCCGTATATATTATCAGCTTTCTGGCAGCTGAGACAGTATGATGTAATCAAACACATCAATATTCTATGGCAAAACACACAAATATTCACATTAAATAATATAAACATGCTGTCAATGGAGGTCCAATTGTGCCCCAAAATTAGTTATAACAAATAAAATCTCTGGCCAGGCATGGTGGCTCATGCCTGTAATCCCAGCACTTTGGGAGGCCGAGGCAGGTGGATCACCTGAGGTCAGGAGTTCAAGACCAGCCTGGCCAACCTGGTAAAACCCTGTCTCTACAAAAATTAGCCAGGCATGATGACAGGTGCCTTTAATCCCAGCTACTTGAGAAGCTGAGGCAGGAGAATTGCTTGAATCCGGGAGGCAGAGATTGCAGTGAGCCGAGATCATGCCACTGCACTCCAGCCTGGGCGACAGAGCAAGACTCCATCAAAATAATAATAATAATAATAATAATAATAACAACAACAACAACAATAATGTAATACAAAACAACAACAACAATAATAATATAATACAATACAATATAATCTTGCAGCCATAAAAAGGAATGAGTTCATGTCCTTTGCAGGGATATGGATGAAGCTGGAAACCATCATTCTCATCAGCAAACTAACACAAGAACAGAAAACCAAATACCACATGTTCTCACTCGTAAGTGGGAACTGAACAATGAGAACAGTTGGACACAGGGAGGGGAATATCACATACCGGGGCCTGTCGGGGGGTGCGGGGCAAGGGGAGGGAGAGCATTAGGACAAATATCTAACGTATGCAGGGCTTAAAACCTACATGATGGGTTGACAGGTGCAGCAAACCACCATGGCACATGTACACTTATGTAACAAACCTGGACGTTCTGCACATGCATCCCAGAACTTAAAGTAAAATTTAAAAAAATAAAATCTTTGGTTTTCACAGCTTTTGGGATTTTAGAATTGCAGATAAAGGATTATGGACTAACAACAAAAACGATGGCACACGATAATGGCAGAGGCAATTGTTTATATAATGGCCACTATACACCAGACGGTATTCTAAGCACAGATATATTATATATTACTAACCCATTTAAACCTCTCGACCTCATGAAGTAGGTATTATTATCAATCTCATTTACAGCTGAGAAACTGAAGCAAATCACTTCCACTAGCCCATCTGGTCTCAGGACGCGTGCTCTCTGTTACTCAGAAGCAAAAGGTACACTTTTCTGAGGCCTTCTAGTGCAGGCACAAAGACACCATAGTTCTTACCGGATCTCCAGCCTATCATTCTAACACTAGCCAACATAATAACTAATGTTAAAAATTATGACTTGGAGTCACCAAGGCTAAGATATATTTTATGTACTTTGTTTATAAAAGCATAGAAAGCTATACATTTTATAGTGAATTCTATTCAACACTGATTATAGGAAAAAAGAAATTAGTACTTTAAGGAAAGCAAACTCTTGGCTCTCTGCAAAATTACATTACAAAAAAAGCTAAAATACCTAGTAGGGTTCTGCGTGGCTAAGGTTTTATTATATCATTCAAAAATTCAAATAGTAACTTTCAAATGATAATTTAAAGTCTCAGACAAAATCTGATATGTAGATTTTTAAACAAAAATAATTTATCTAAAAAGTAGCTGTTCAAAAAATGCTGCTGGATTAATTACTTTTAACAATTTATTATACAAAATATTGCTTAAGACCCTCCAAAAAATAGCTGGGCACAGTGGCTCACGCCTATAGTCCCAGCACTTTGGGAGGCCGAGGGGGGCGGATCACCTGAGCTCAGGAGTTCGAGACCAGCCTGGACAACATGGTGAAACCCCATCTCTACCAAAAACACAAAAAATTAGCTGGGTGTGATGTGTGCCTGTGGTCCCAGACACTCAAGAGGCTCAGGTGGGAGGATGGCTTGAGCCTGGAAGGCAGAGGTTGCAGTGAGTCAAGAAACTGTGATATTGCACTCTAGCTTTGGCAACAGAGTGAGACGCTATCTCAAACAAACAAACAAGATCCTCCAAAAATATTCTAGCCCTATGACAGAAAAGAGAGAGAAATAATATCACAATGAAACTCACCTGATACTGTGGCTTTCCCAGAGATGGGGTTTGGTGTGGGCACGAGGGACGTGGCGCTGACGACGGTGGGGGTGGCAGCCTTGCAGGTTCCCATGGTGGTCTGGCTCACACACACTTGCGGCTGCCCAGAAGTTTTCGTTACAGAACTGACCGTAGATGAAGACATGGGAGCCATTCCCTCAGACTGCTCACCCATGGGGCCAGAAACAACACAATTCAGGAAGGAAGTAGAGTGAGTGACTAAGAGCAGTGATGGCCACACAGCACACACACTAAGTGTCATCTATTAGGTGTTAGTGACTACTTAGTAAATGCCATACCATTTAAAAAAGATTACTTCTGTAGTTCAATGGTTCCTGTACTTTTACATTTCATGGACCAAGAAAATTTAAAAAACGTAAAACAAGGAAGTATCATAGGGTGATCATATTTTTAAAATTCACCACCTATTATATCCCTTTATATATA